TTGCCAATGCCCGAGAGCCGGGAAGTTAGTAGGCGCAAAGCTTTGGAGCCTGCAACTCGGAACCGCGAATAGAAGACCTTGAACCCTTGTCCTCAGCTGGTGGCCTTATAGACACAAGCCCTGATGGTGTGGCCGCCAGGCCGCGACTCTTCTGGCTGGGCCTTGGATACCTGTTGTGCGAGCCCCAGAGCGTGTTTTCATCGAGGCCAGTGAATAGCAAGGACAATAAAGTTGGAGCTCAGGATTGTGTTCAGGATTAAGCTTGACGCGCTTGCACCGAAACCCGTGCGCCCTTGTACATACGACATCCTGACCTGCGCAGTTCCAGTCAGAACATTCTCAAAAATTCGATTCATTGGTATTAATGTCAACAGCTTTGTCGGCAGCCCCAGAATATTGACAAAGTTCATCTGCATTATTAACACCACCAGCATCACCTCCAGCAGCAGCGGCATCATCATCATCATTATCATTATCATCATCATCTTCTTCTTCATCTTCTTCATCATCATCATCGCCATCCTTGTTTTTGCCAGATGGGGGGCGGTGGCTGTGTTGCCAACTATTGGTCGGATCTGCAGAACTATGCCATTGGCCGTCCACCTGGGATTGGGTTTCCCTTGGAGCACGTACCATTCCTCGAAGCCCTTACACCTTGACTACACGAGACTTGCCTAGCAGCATCGTTCTGACCGCAATGAATGCAGCTCCCGGTTTGTTCGGTGTAGCGGCTTAGCACCGGGCCCTAAGCTGCGGCTATAACGCATATGAGATGCTTGGCTTGGAGAACAAGCCACGATGCCGAAGACCCTCTCGAGCCTACATAAGGCCGTGGCTGCGCCACTGGCGAAGGCCGGGACGGTTAAGCTAGTTGACTTCCTGCGGAACATCCCAAGCTCCTCCCTCCTTGCTGCGATAGCCTGAATCTGAAACCACGAATGCCTCGCTGATGCTCTGAAGCTATCGGGGCTCGGGCCTTGCAACTGGATTGTTGTGGGTTCAGGCATCCACCAAGCTCCTGGTTCAAAAGGATTAAGTGTTTGGGGTTCGGCGCTTAGAGTTTAAGTTTTCGATATCGTGGAGGGTTGCAAAGGATGTTGGGTTGGAATTCGGTTTGAGTTTGGTAGGCAACTTCGGCTGTCGGGTCTGACAATGGACTTGACTGGTTTCAGGCTTTGGGTCTTTGGATGCAGGCCAGGACTATGAATATATATTTATATACAGATATTAATACGGTTGTTTATTATGATTGTTTATTTATTTATCTATGTGTATATATTTATACATATACATATATGTGTGTTACAAAAATTGTGGGAGTTGCGGCTGTGAAGAAGGTGGTCTCACACCATCGTCGCTTCTGCTCACTATAGTGGGTCTACAGTGGCCTGAACAACTAATGACAGTACTCCTCAGGATACCCTGTCATGAATGCACCATTATTTTCCCCAAAGCCCTATTCTAATCATTACCCATAGGCCCTAAAGTAGTTCCTTTTTTGGGGTTCATATATAGAATCCTATAAGGTAATCCTAAAAAGGAACTACTATGGGGCCTATCATGAGACTGTTGAGAGCTTTCGCCAAGTCGTCTCACTAGGCTTTCGTAGGGCATATCGGGGAGTAGTCGTGTGCGACGTCCCTCGCCGGAGTCAAAGATGAGGAATCTGTGTAGTGATTGGGGTTTAGGGTTTAGGGTTGATAAACCACTTCGATATTGAACCGGCGTGATTTACACCCGAGACTCGTGATCTTCACCACACATGCTTGAATCTCACCTGCAGATGCAACTCCCTGCACAATGTCGCGCCTGTAGCAATGCTATGCCCCATGCAGGCCACGACGGCAAGTGCGGCAAGGATGTCGGGGACAGGGAAGTTCCGTGCGCCTCCCCTGTTCCTGAATTTCTGGTCATTCCCTGGCAGACAGGTCAATCCGGATCCCGAGTCCTAAATCGGAAATCCGGCGCTTCCGAGTTTCTTCGAGCTACTGATGCACTGTAGAGTGGAATGTATGTATTACTACCTACTATGTACTATATGTTCATATCTAGACCTGAGTTACGCACAGGCATCTAGCCAGGGCGGTAGCGAAAGGGTTGCTCCGATTTGCCGACGCAGCCGTAGCAGGCAGCCTTCAAGGCGATTGTTTGCTGATTCAGCAGGAGTGTCACGATCGACACGAGAAAACCCGCTGAATCTTTCCAGTTGAGCAATTCGTCCTTCTTGTACCAACCACCCGGTCACTGCAAGCTTTGGCTCAACATTGGCTGCACCTCCTGGAATCTTCTGGAGTGTGGGGTGCCATGGAGTCGGCCAAACTGCAGCGCGGGAACTGCTGGAGACCTACACAAACCTATGTCTACGTATGTCTTGTTGGTTCCGACTTGTCATTTAGGAAGGTCGAAGCAAGGTTGGAATCTTCAGCGACAAGTTGTTGTTTCTTCGTTCAGGGCCACGAAGTTGATGTACGAGAAACGAAAGAGTTGCAGAACGTTTTACATTTCGGACTTGGAGGTGGAGTGTCTGGGTGAGCCGAAAGCTATGAATGAAGGCGTCGATGCTCCGATTGTTGATTATACGTGTTTGTCGAGGTCGTACCTGCCGGCAGAGGAGGGTACTTGGCTGCTGGCTTCACAACGAGGCGTCGCTCCAACAGAGATGGAGATCAAACAGCAATCAAATGGGCGTAAATTACAGTATTTGCTGCCCGTGAACACTCACAAACTGGCATTTCTCTCTCAACTGGAAGGAAGGAGGGAAGGAAGGAAGGAAGGAAGGAAGGTACTCCCACAACCACTGCTACTGATGCTACTACGTATGTTCATTGATCAAAGACTAGTATTACTGTCCACACCACTGCTGCTACTACTGCTACTAC